GGTTTAACTGTATAACTATTTATTCCACACATCACAGTTACAATTATCTTTTTAAAGTAAGAAGAGATATACTGTAGTTATGTCATGGTTACCCTAAATGTAACTCAATATTACCAGCTTGTAAGTTTTTTAATCAGGTCAAAGCCTACTGATAAGCTTTAGCTTGAAAGCTATGCATTAAAAAATAAATATTTAATAGCAATATAATTTTTAACAGATAATAATTGAAAAATAGTAGTTTTACTGAGACACGGTGGATAAATGAAGAAAAAGACATCTGGTAATGCAAATAAAAGTTGCTGATTATTGCCAAGGGCCAACAGCCCGAAACGTGTACATGGTTAGCTTTTCTTGTTTAATCAAGAATGTTTATTTGGCCAATTCTGGAATAATTAAAAATCAAAGAATTAGTTGATATTCTGAAAGTTGGCACAAGACATCAGAAACTTTTAGTTACACAATCAGGAGATGCCTTTTTCTTAATTCATCTACCTGATACCAGTACAATTTCAGTTTTTTTACTTTTTTTTTCCACATTGTTTGGTGTTCTCACGTGCTTCTGGCCTAAACTACCCATTTCATGATTTTTCAAGATGCCTGAATGACCAGTTTGTTGTCATTGAGGTACAGATTGTACCACACTGACAAGGGCAACAGCCCAAAATGGTACGAGATTAGTTTTTCTTGATTAATCAAAAATGGGTATTTGGTCAATTATGGAATAATTAAAAACCAACTAAGAGTTGAATATTTATCCCGACAGATGGAGCAAGCAATCAGTAACTTTTAGTTGCACAACCAGAAGATGCCTTTTTTCTCAAGATAATAATTTATTTCTCATGTCACATCAAAACCCATTGCCTTCAAGAATGGAAATCTAATGCTGCACATGACTGGTACAGAGCAGGAGGGACAAGCACCGGTTCTGTCCTCCCAAGAGAACAACAGTCTTTGATTTCCAAACTTAAGTCTGGTCATCTACGGACAATGACTTTCCAGAATGGTTGCAAGGTTTTCCCCACTATGTACTAAGTTCAATTCTCAACCTGCAACCCCAAGACATATTATTGACTGTATTAACTCATCCATTGATGAGCTCTACTCTTCCCCGGCAGACACCATCAAAAGTCTCGAGCTTTACAAGCTTGATACCTTAAGATGATTGAGTGGAGATAAGAAAGAAAGAAGATTTATTTCTCACCTATATAGCACATCATTTAGTCTATTCAAATTCTACCCACCCACCATCTTTTAATATGTGTGAACTAACTGTATCCTATTTTAAATCCTTTTAACTGTATCATTATAATGTGAAATTGTACTGGGATAAGGTTCAGGCCTTTTTCTTAATGTATCAACATAGTAAGACACAATTTGGATTATAAACACAAGGTGTTTCGGATACAATCACTGCCTCACTTACTAAGCTCGGAAAGCTTGCCGCATCCTGGATATGTCTGGTCTTATCTAAATAGTTGTGGCAGAGCTTGACTGTATCTTCTTGTCAGACTTCTTCTGGTCTCCAACCGAATTGAAGCCTATATGCTTCCTCAAAAGTGCCCACAACACCAGAAAGGCTACACTGATAACACTAATAATTCACCAACACCCTATTGTTACTGACACACTTTTATTAAACTAACACATCCTTATATACAGAATTATATTTACAAATATATAAATCTTGTCTGAATAAGCAAAAATAGAAATTTACATAACCGGCGTCTCCACAAGGTAATAAGACCAAATCCAAATAAATCCAAAATAACACGTTTAATTTGGATTTGTTCTTAATACCTTGTGTTTCCGTTATCATAGATTATATCTATTTTCATAGTCTTTATTTTTCAAGAGTTTATCTTGTTTGAAGAAGTGTGTCTGCTCCTTATAGTTTGGGTAGAAATTTACTTTTTCTTCCATTATCATGGAGTCTATACAGGGTCCTGTACTCTCTTCTTCTTCTTGATTATGCCTAGTACACGTGGTACAGGCCATGATAATCATGGTGAGTAGAGGTAGGCAACTGCTTTTACTGTAAGTGCACCACATGTCTACACATGTGAAAAGCAGTCCTTTACACGTGGTACAGGCCATGATAATCATGGTGAGTAGAGGTAGGCAACTGCTTTTACTGTAAGTGCACCACATGTCTACACATGTGAAAAGCAGTCCTTTACACGTGGTACAGGCCATGATAATCATGGTGAGTAGAGGTAGGCAACTGCTTTTACTGTAAGTTCACCACATGTCTACACATGTGAAAAGCAGTCCTTTACACGTGGTACAGGCCATGATAATCATGGTGAGTAGAGGTAGGCAACTGCTTTTACTGTAAGTTCACCACATGTCTACACATGTGAAAAGCAGTCCTTTACACGTGGTACAGGCCATGATAATCATGGTGAGTAGAGGTAGGCAACTGCTTTTACTGTAAGTGCACCACATGTCTACACATGTGAAAAGCAGTCCTTTACATGTGGTACAGGCCATGATAATCATGGTGAGTAGAGGTAGGCAACTGCTTTTACTGTAAGTTCACCACATGTCTACACATGTGAAAAGCAGTCCTTTACAAGTGGTACAGGCCATGATAATCATGGTGGGTAGAGGTAGGCGACTGCTTTTACTGTAAGTACACCACAAGTCTACACATGTGAAAAGCAGTCCTTTACTCTGAACCAGCTAAACCCAGGTTTTTACTGTTTTCCATTCTCATCCAGGCTTGAAATGGCAATGGTGGAGTTAAAACTCTCGAGTGAGTGGACAACAGCAGAATTTGTATAAATGACAACAATGGAGATGTGGAATGAAGATACCTCACATATGAATACAGTAGAACCTCCCTGTAAAGGACACCTAATTGCAGAGCCAAAGTGTCATTTAGGGAGAGGTGTCCTCTTACCGGAGAATTGCTAAATTGTAAAAACGGTAATTTTGCAAATGAAAACTGTCCTTTGTAGAGAGGTATCAGCTAGTGGGGTGTCTGCTAAAGGGAGGTTTTACTGTACTATAAAACCCTATTATTATGATTTTCATTGGAACTGAGGCCTTACAAATGGGGACATTTATCAATGGGTAGAAAAAGGGGATCCTCTAAAAGTACTGGAGTGTTGTGAGAAATGTCATTTGGTCTCAATCCCAATGGATGGAAAACCCCCTATTTGTACCTCCCAGTGTGAGTACATCTCTGGTAGAGGACATGCAACATCCTATTGATATTAATAACATAAAAGAGGACCGAATGAAAGCCGAGATAAACTTTCAACTTCATTCCTGTAATGAAAAAGGACACTCTCTTGATAAAGCACAATTTGGATTATAGATTATAATAAAAGAAAATAAGACCTAATCCAAATAATTTATTAGTGTAATTATTATATATATATATATATATATATATATATATATATATATATATATATATAATAATTATTTGGATTAGGTTGTGGCGACCACACTTTGCTTCAGCAAGTGCGAACTGGGACAAAGCTCCACTACACACACAGGGCAGTGGACGGCCTCGGCAACAGCGAGCGTCAACCTGACTATGCATGCGGGCAGGACATCTTCCAACACTTGATCTGGCACGCGCGGTAAACAACAAGGCCTGCTCCAATGGCCGTTACTTTAACCGTTACTTCTTTTCTCTTTATATATTTCTGGCTTTAAATAAATTAATTTTAATTATAATTTTATCAGCGGCCTTTCCACAAGCCACACCAACACATCACACCACCATCCCACAAGGTCTTATTTTCTTTTATTATAATCTATAATCCAAATTGTGCTTTATCATTTTTGATAGACTTCAATGGACCTAAGAAGTTATTCTTCCTATGAGCTGAAGAATTCCAAAGTGAATATCAATGTTGATGCCATTACTTGAAGATTCTATTTTAAAGAATTCGGGATCTGAAGCTCTCCTCTACTTCAAGAAGTTGAGAAAACACAGCATTAAAAGGGTGAGTTCTTTTTCTCACATCTATTTTCTTAAATTCTGTAGGACACTCTCTTGTTCTTTGGGAGAGAAATTTCCCCAAAAGGTGAAAGAACCATATTTATTTGTCCAACAGGACAGAAGGAAGAAGGCACTGGCAAACCACTTCTGTATCAAGGATTGATGAGAAAACTATATGGATCAAATTAGAGAATATTTATATATTTTTTTTTAAATCAGAAAAAAGTGTCCAATGCGGGAATCGAACCCGGGTCGTAGAAGTTGAAAACCAACAGTTTAGACCATCATTCCACCAACCCCCATTGGAGAATATTTATCCATATAGTCATCAAAAGTGGAACTCAACTTGATGAACACTAAACATACGACAGAAAAGTGGGAATAGACTAATAAACAGAGCTGGTTGTATCAGAGGATATGGCACAATTTGGATTATAGCTTTGAACTACAAGGTAATAAGACCAAATCCAAATATATTAATACTGTGTGATGTTTTGGTAAAAACACTGTTACCAAAACATCACACACTATTTATTCGGAGTTGGTCTTAATACCCCGTACCTCATCACTACAACTAACAATCAAAAGGGGTCGGTAGAAGGATGGGCTAAACCGTTGGTTTTCGACCGCTATGACCCGGGTTCGATTCCTGCATTGGGCACTTTTTCTGATTAAAAAAAAAAAAAATGCTCAAATGGCCCCCAATTCTTGCAAAAGTCTAACCCAACCAGCGAGTGCAAGTAACCAAACGGGGCTCTGGAACATTTGTAAGTGCAAAATCTAACTGCTTTTCACATGCTTAAATATGTGGTGCACTTACATTACTGTAGCAGTCGCCTACTTCTACCCACTATGATTATCATGGCTTGTACCACGTGTACTAGGGATAAGCAAAAAAAAATCTAAATGCTACTACATTCGAGGTAGGTCTAGGGATGACAAGAAATATGCTAGTCACCCCAAACATCAATACTGGAGAGAGAAAATATGGTTTTACGGGCTACTAGCCAAAGTGTATGATTTTCGAGCCCAAAAAAAAAAATTCTTATGCCGGGAATCGAACCCGGATCTTCTGAGTGAAAACCAGATATCCTAGCCACTAGATCACATGGGACATTAAAAAATTCTCACATAGGGAAAAAAACTGGGATTCTTTCCCAATATTGGAATTCTTCAATGTAATTTAAATGGTAAGACCTCTGGGAAAACCCCAAGACTATAATAGAAAAGCTGAGACAATGGGACCTAATGGCGATTGTTTAAAAGACTTGAGAATAAGCCTTTACCGATCCCAAGCCCGGATGAAAAAGGAGGAGGGGGAGCAGTAACAAGCTCACTAAAAAACCTGGGTTCAGCTGGCCCAGCTGATAGTACCCTGTAAGGGCTCCTAATCCAGGGATACAGGATGAGCAGCGTTTGTACTCCATGTTAGGAGCGGCTGCACATGGCGTCTGTTTCTCATGTCAGAGGCGGCCATTTCTTTTGGAGCTAAGTCGGCCTGCCACTGAGTAGTGCTCCCAGTCTTAATGATAAAGCAGACACATTCTAATTCACCAAATCATGATGGTTGTCAATAGACACCATCAACAAGCTTGACACCCTAATATGATTGAGTGGAGATAAGTAAGAAGAAGAGGATTAAGCAACAACAACAATTTAAATGATACACTTGGTAGTATTTGACTGAACTCCTACTGCTAGCTGACAAAGTGGATGGAATCTGCATTCAAGACACCAAACTTAAGTCAAGTACAAAGTTGAAATTAGGGGCTTCTCAATATCATTAGACAAGACATGAGGCCGAACAAAATGGTGTTGGTATTATTGCTTTAGTAAGAAATCTTTCATTTAAGTAATACTGCAGAACCTCCATGAGAGGACACTCGTGCTAGAGGACACCTCTCTATAATGGACATTTTTCATTTGCAAAATTACCATTTTTTACTATTTAGTAACTCTCCTGTAAGAGGACACCTCTTCCTAAAGGACACTTTGGCTCTGCAATTAGGTGTCCTTTACAGGAAGGTTGTTGTTGTTGTTAATTATTCCGTCGTTTGAACAATCTCCATTAGGTTTCATTGTCTCAGCTTTTCTATTATAGTCCTGGGGTTTTCCCAGAGCTCTTTTTTGGAGGATTTGATACAATTCAATAGATAAAAAGAGACAAGAGTTGCCTCTCCCGTCAAAATAGACGTCAAAACCAGACGCCATCTATTGACTGTTGCCGCAAACTAGCAGCCTCGGGTTGGTGACAAAGCCACATCCTCCCGGCAAAATTTCCATCTATAATTCAATAGAAGTTCAGAACTGGCTGGTTGGGAATCGCATTTGGGGCATTTCGGGAATGTTTTGATTTTTCCATTGAATTTGAGCATTCTAAGATGTACAGGAAAGTTCTACTGTATTACAACAAATATAGACTTACAGAAATAATGGGGATACAAACTATAGAAAGCAATAGATGGCCAATCAACACAAGGTAATAAGACCAAATCCAAATAAATAGTGTGTGTGATGTTTCGGTAACAGCGTTGTTACCATCTTCAGACAAAAGTACTGAATGCTAACTGAAAGTACTGAATACTAATTTGATTCAGTACTTTTGTCTGAAGATGGTAACAACACTGTTACCGAAATATCATATGCTATTTATTTATTTGGATTTGGTCTTATCACCTTATGTTTATAATCTATAATCCAAATTGTGCCTTATCAAGACCAATCAATATATTTAACTGCTACCATCCCTCGAACAAACCAGGACCAAAATTAAATAGCATAGCCAACCTCATGTATGATAACTCAACCATTCTTGGAACTTCAATGGCAAAAGCCAGTTATGGGAATCTCATGAGGATATTGGAATAATAAAAAATCAATGGCCATGGAAAGTTAAGATGAAATTGTAAAGGCTTAATTAGTGGTGATTTTGATGTATTATTTGATTGCTAAATCTCATTTAGTGCAGGAATTTCAAAGTTTTTATGATGAAGAAAGTCACACACTCAAGGTAACTTTTTTCTCATTCAGTACTTTTGTCTGAAGATGGTAACAATGCTGTTACTGAAACATCACACACTATTTATTTATTTGGTCTTATTACCTTGCGTTTATAATCTATAATCCAAAATTGTGCCTTATCAAAGTCACACACTATTTACTTTTGGATTTGGTCTTATGGGGGGGAGAAGTCCGACCACACCTCCCTGCGGTCCCCCCTGGACCCTTGGAATATTCGACCAAATTCTGGTTCGTTTCCAAGGTGACTAACGTGGCAACGGCACCCATTTTCCAATGATAGTGGATATTGCTGCTGCTGTGATAGAGATGCATGGAGACATCTGAGGCTCTTCATTGGACACAACAACATTTGGTCTTATTACTTTGTCAATAACTGCTTGAAATGCAATAGTGCGGAAGCTTCTCCAGAACATATCATGCTCAGAACTGACAATAGAGGACCTATTTTCCAGGCCTATAACTACCATCACAAAATTGGAGAGGAGTGGACTTCAGGAATTGGTTTAACCATGGAGATAAGCACCACCACCACTTTGTGTTTCTAATCTATAATCCAAATTGTATCTGATCACATTTTGTTACAGAAACATTAATAATAAAATATTTATTTAGTATCATTACCTATGGTTTATTAATTTTTTATATGTATTAAACTCCCTAACCATTTTCATCAACTTTAAAAACATCAGTTTTTAGAAATTTTACAAAATTCTCCACAAGTCAGAGAAGAGATAAAAATATTCAAATTTAGATAAAATATTTACCCCACCAGCGAATGCAAGTAATCAAACGGGGCTCTGGCATATTTTTAAGTGCAAAGTCGAACTGCTTTTCACATGTGTAGACATGTGGTGCATTTACAGTAAAAGCAGTCGCCAACTTCTACCCACCATGATTATCATGGCCTGTACCAAGTGTACTAGGGATAATAACAAAAAAATTGTAGTCTGCTCCTGTAGAAGGGCGGTAATACCTGAAAGTTTGAGATTGCAATAAAAGGTGAAAATTAACAGAAACCTGTGTTGCATCAATTAATTAATATTCAGGAGATTCACATCTATTGCATTACCTACATTAAGCAAGCTTTTGATAAAGCACAATTTGGATTATAGATTATAATACAAGAAAATAAGACCTAATCCAAATAATTTAATAGTGTGTGAGGTTTCGACAACAGCATTGTTACCATCATCAGACAAAAGAATAAATGAGGAAAAAAAAAAGAGAATATAAAATATAGAAAAATAAAATAAGAATTTTTTTAAAATTCTTTTTGTCTGATGATGGTGACAATGCTGTTGCCGAAACGTCATACAATAATAAATTATTTGGATTAGGTCTTATTTTTCTTGTAAAGAAAGCTATTGATTGGTTGATCTGTGATATTTCTTGACTTTCCAATTCCTTTGAATATATCAATGGCTTGAGGTATTATCACAAGTGTTCAGTGTAATGAACTTACAGTACTAAATGTTGATTTAAGATGTTCCATGATATTTGGCCAACCCATTTTCTTGATATATCAAGCCAACCATGAAAGCTTTTTGGGCTGTTGGCCTTCTCGTCAGTATGGTGAAGGCTGTGCCTCAACAACCAAAATATTTATCAAGAAAATGGGTTGGGCAAATATCATAGAACAAGTTAAAGGAACATTTAGTTGAATTTTGTTCCACTAGATGGCACTCTCTCCCATCTAAAATGCAAAGTGAGTGGTCAGGATGTCTTTTTAGTTTTAATATATATATACACAAATACCAAAACATAAGGAGGTTGTACCTTTTAGCATGTATATTGGGATTCAGACAATAACTCTGAAAGATATTTGACATACAGTGTGAACAAAATTACCTCTGTCTCCTTCAAAAGAATAGACAACCGGCAACATCAAAATATGAAATTTTCTAAAGTTTTGTTCATGAGTGTATATACAAGTAGAACCTCTATGAGAGGATACCTCTTTACAAAGGACAGTTTAAATTGTCATAATTATCATTTTTATTAATTAGCTGGGGAAGAAGACCCCTCTCCTGTGTGGAGGTTTTATTTAAAAAGACTAGTTTTTATAAATAGAGAGATATGGCATAACAGAGTCTATGATACAACAAGAGAATCCATCAAGAGCTCTAGTGCCTGTCACTGGGCCACCAGGAAGGAATTCCTGTCTTGATCTGAGTTCCGTCCACAGAGAGACTCTGGGACTTGAGACTGGGTTCTATCCTCAGCAGGGCTAGTCCGTACTGGCTGCCACAACTCCGCAGCCTGCCCAAGGACTTCCCATCCTCATTCACAATGGGCTCATTAGGCTTGGGAGGATTGTTGGTGGATGGCAGTAGGACCGGCATGATCCTCTTGCGAATCTCCCCGGTGTGATAGACCCTGGCAGTGAGCTCCTGCCCGAGGTAGCAGCCCTTATGGAAGCTGACACCATTGAGTAAATCCAGGTTGCTCTCCAGGGGCATGGTGTCTCCATTGGGTAGATCTGTAGTGCCCTCTGGCACTCCCAGCCTGTGTCGTAGCTCGGTGTAGGTGTCCTGCTGCGTGGACTCTGGTATCTCCAGGAGAGCAGGGACCTGGACCCCCCGTGTGCTGAGGACCCGTGCTCCCAGGTACTTTAGTCTGGGATCTGAAACTTTCTGTAGGATCCCCTGTGGCAGAGGGGCGTTCCCTCCAAGTGACAGTGGCTCCGCCTGGTACTGGAATGTGTTGGTTGACTCCTCTAGAGAGGACTCCAGGGTGGGGTGCACCACCCACACTTCAATGTCATTCTCTGCCTTGATGGTGGCCTTCATCCTGAGCTTGTGGAACTTGAGGTGCTGCACCAGCTGTTCCTGGAGCTGGCTGTCACACTCCACCAGGTAGCTGTTGGGTTCTGTGCGGTAGATGAGGGTGTCACAGATGGCCCGGCCATAACTGTTCAGGAACATGGAGTAGATGGCAGTAGGGAAGGGATAGGCTCCTAGGTGATTGATGTCATTGGTAATCTTTCCCTGGAGGAGATCTCCAGCATTTTCCCCACTCACCCGCACCAGCTTACGGCCCTTCAGCAGCTGGCACCTGGCTGCAGGCTTTGGGATGGAGGTGGATAACTGTCTT